TAGCAGTTAAGTAGGTTTAATATCATTGTCAACACGTTGACTGCCATGCAGCCGCCGGCGGCCTCAAGAATATTTATCATGGGGACGCTAAAGAYATTTTTCAGTGTCATTATAAATTTGTATTTGTATATATATACTATTGAATTTGAAAAAAAAAATTAAAAATACAAAAAAAAAATGTTAAAATTATGTTTATTGCATAAAAAAAATTGCAATTATTCCCACTACGCCACAGCATATTTCAAGATCATTATTGTAGCGCCACGGAAAAGTTGATAATATAAATCCAAATTMATTTACAGCAGCCCGCGGCTGTATGGCCTCCTACGAATGATATGGTGCGGCAGCCGGCGGTCTAAAAATTATCAATACCTAATTATTATTAAACGGACGCCGGCGGCCGCATGGCAGTCAACGTGTTAAATATATTATTTTATTGAAGTCTAATTGATTAAATATTTTGATACGTCTATACACACACACACACATATATATATATATACATTTCGTAATTCAAAAACTCATCTCTCAAAGTTTTAGTTTGATGAGTAGGTAATGCATTACAATGTAAATTTGGACATTTCATTAATCACGTATGATATACTATGATATATAGAACCAGAAAAGAAGGTGATTTTTATATAAAATAATTTATTATTTTAAAACTGTTTATAGTTTACTGTGTTTCGTATAGTAGTGAAATATCTAAAGATCAAAATGACTAAATACGTAGGTATTTTATATTTCGTTTACGTTTTACACTTATTATTATGTACAAATTATATACAATTAATAACTATATATATATATTATAGTGTGTATAGTACAACGGTTAAAAAATATTATAAATATATATATATTTATTAAGTCATATCGTTTTCTCACCTAGCAGCTAGCTACGCTCTAAATATATAAGTTTATACAATATATTAAATACTATTTAYAGTATAATGTATTCACTGCGATCGCGTGGCAGTATTATTATTCTCAACTCAAGTCTATATCGATCTCAAACACTGTGGTGTATCTAATGTATATATAACATTTTAACATTTATATATTATTAGGTATTGTGTGTAACTATTTTGAACTTTCCAGCAATAAGACCTTTCGAGATCATTCAAACGAACCTCAGCTTATAAATCATTTGATGATAAACATATTACATTATACATAATAAATATTACACACCGGAGACGAGGGTTGTGTGTTAGTATCGACATGCAGTTTTTAAATATTTTAAGTCTGCTGAATATTCATAGTTTTTGAATAAAAATAAAAATAAATTTCTACGTGTCCTATAAATTTTAGATTGTGAATGCATTTTCTGTTATAAGTAAGTAAACACATTGCGTCTTGAAATTTTAGTTCTTCGATTCTTTTATTTGAAATAATAACCAATGAATTCTTATGTTAAAGTATATAATGAACTGATGAGTATGATATTATATAGATACACATAATAATGTATAAGTTTGAGTTATTATAAATATTATGAAGCATAAAGGTTTGTTTTTTTTTTTACTCCGTATTACAAATATTAGATATACATAGGCATTATCCTTGCAAAATAGTCTTAGTTACGTAACTGATCTGTCCTTAAGAGTACGTAATAGTGGAATTTGTTGTCTCCGTCTTACCAGTGCGTAATATAGCAAATTTACGCTCAGYAGAACACTTGTAGCTTCTTTAAAGATTTAACACAGATAATGTACTTACCATACACTTTCATTATAGGTCGATTCACTGTAATTTTTAAACTAAAGGAGCTACAAGTGTTCTGCTGAGTGTAAATTTGGTATATTACGCACTGGTAAGACGGAGACAACAAATACTACTGTTACGTACTCTAATTATGCCGATAGCCTGACAAACATATTTTGTGCAGGTACTCAGAGTCTATATATATATATATATACAGAAGTTACATACATTGTCGTGTTAAAGTTTAGACAATCGATTAAAGTGGTGTATTATCATTTATCTTACTCAGGTGTACAATAATAATAAAACAATAATAGTACATTGTTATTGTGGTTGCTTATACGCGCGTATTGTGTATGTATAATATTATATTCAATATTATGCAATCATTATAGTATGTTTATGTAAAATATCATGTAGCTACTCACAACTCTTTTATACTGGACGTCGTTTCACCGCGTTTTTGTCTTGTAAAATAATTATTTCGTTCACGATTTCAATATTGGTATAAACATTAAATAATGTATATTAACATTACCGAATGCGTTAAGCTTGTAGGTGAAGTTTTCGTTATGTTATCTGATATAATATGAAATGTGTATGGTATTATTAAATGTATTGAAACTTACAATATTATACAAATACAGTAATATCTTCTTATAACGGAATCGGTAGGTACCAACTGATTTTTCCGTTATTAAGGAGTTTCCATTATATTGTTATTAGGGAGACTTAAATATACTGGTTATAGGTATCATTGATTATTAGGAGGTTTTACTGTCTATCGTATTATTTATCATATAATATATGGACAATGTTTTCAACGTAAATCACTATATTAATTATAATAATATAATTAAAGCAGTTAAAAAAGAAATATGATAAAAAAAAAAATAATTTATGTCATATATTGATGTAATGTATAATGCATTTATATATTAATGATAATTAATAATTTATTAATATACTGTTGATCACTACGATGAGTATCTCGAGTATGTGATGATTTTTGTTAAGTAATCTACTGTAATAGGATAATCTATTACAATTTTAACTATTTTTATAGTGAAATTTTGTTTTATTTTATAATAGCTCTAATAAAGAAAAGATAATCAGATAATAATAATCAAATAATAAAATATGTGTGAAATAATTTAACATTATCTTTAGCGTAAGATATTTCATAGACTGTATTAATTAAATGTATAACAAAATACTTTTATATATAGCGCCCACGTGTAAAACCAACCTACAGTTCCATAAAAAACCTACAGTACTACCCCCTTCCCAATGGCCTTAGTTGCCGCGGGATAATAAAAAAAAATAAAAATAAAATACTTATAATGATAATAGTAATAAATATAGGTTAGGTTATTTACTAACTTAAAATGAATTTAATTAATTTATCACATGAATTGTTCGAAGTTTTCGCCATTATGTTCTAAACATGAATCCAGTYGTCTCAAAAATGCAGTAGAAATTGCCGCCTTGATTTAATTACAACAGATTACTATAAACAAAAATCATCACATACTCGAGATACTCATTGAAGTAATAACCAAAAGCATTAATAAATTATTATTTGTAAACAGATAAAGTAAATTAAGCGTTTATTTGGCACTTCTATTATTATTTCTAGTGGTTATAAATGCAAATTGCATTAAACACGTATAGGTATGATGCATAAATTCAAATTTTGACTTATTTTAACTTGGTCAGTTTTGTAAACAGAAAAAAAYTTTTGATACAAAAAATGTTAAAATAAAATAATCTATCCGAATATGTTAAGAAGAATAGTGTTTTCATTTAAAAAATTGTAAGTTGTAACGCGCACACCAATAGTGTTAAAAATTTGAAATTAAATTTATCTGAAAATATGTATTTAAGTACTCCCTATCACCTCCCGAAAACCCAATTGCAATATAAGGTCATTCACTTGACATATTTAGTGTTCTCTTAAATTGTGATCACACTGTATATAATATTATAATATTTATTCCGTGATATTTTATTTAATATATTTATAGTTACATTTTACATTTTACATATTACATTATGTTAGTCATAACTCATATTATAAATATTTATTATTGTAATATGCGATGGCCATATTGAAAGAACCTCTATGGCTCCATAAATTATATTACATCCTAGTTGCGGTAACTTTAAAAGTTAAAGAGAGAAAAAATGTGCATGTCGCTCTGCTGTACAGTATAGGTTACAAGTGGGTCACTGTAATGGATGGAATTAAATTTGAATCCAATGATATTATATCATTGTATACGAAAAACGATTCTGAGCGAAGATGGTTTATCTGTCTAGGATATATTATAGATTATTAAAAATTTTCAAATCTTAGATTTAAAAATTTTTTTTATTAATTTCTAGCTTAAAATAATTTGCGAATTTTCGTGATTTTAACGTATGTTGTCAAAATTAAAATTTGAATGATTGTAAAAAAAAAATTGTGACTGTATTTTTAATATTTTTTAACTGCTATTGTAACAATATGTTAAGAGTCAAAATTTTTGTTTTGCTCCGATCATAAAAAGTTCTCATCTTTCAGATAAAAAAATATTAAAATTCTACATAACAATGAGGCATATTAGTTTTTGCTGTGAATTTATGTTTGTTGATATAATATACCAGGGGTGCCAACTTGTGGCCTACGTCTTATTAAAAWAAACCCAATATTTACTTATTAACGATAAAATTATTTAAATTTTAAATTTTTTTTTATCATTTGTGCTCTTGCTATCATTATATTTGTCCGTGTAGTTCGTGGACGTATTAATGTTGGCTACCCCTTTAATATACTATATCAAATCCCCTCTTAAATAGGTATTGAACATTGACTAGTAGAAAAGTCTTATAACTAAGATAGCAACTAAAATGTAAAATATAATGTTCAAATTTTATAGAGTTGGAAAATTGAAATAACCGGCACTGATACTCTTATAATTTTTTTTCACAATATGACCACTTTTAACGCTTTTAACTTAAATATTATACTGTACGAGTGTATACCACACATTGTTTCAAACAAAGTATGATTTACTTATTTATTTTACATAATATATCATAATTTATTTGACCTCGGTAATAACACTTAGTTATCGTAGTTAGAACTTAGAGTCATAGCATAGTGCTCACACTCAGATACAGTTATACTAATTTTAGCTATTATTATATTAAGATAATTACTTGTCTATATTCTGTTACCTTTTTGTAATGTGAATTCTATATTTTCCAAACTTTACCAAGGATATYATCAATTTATCACACAAATGTTAATGATGTTTCATGCAACTATGCAAGTAGGTACTTCCGATATAGGACCTTGAGCGTATATTATGCAGGATTATTAGTGGCGTTTGAAGCCTTAAAACATATGAGTTGACATAAAATTAGATGGAAATAAGACTTGACATCGACCATTACTGATGTATAGTAAGCAAAGTATTTAAGTATAATTCGTACTATTTGTTCACCATAATCTGGTTTAAAAATGTCTATTATTTGTTATACCTAAATATATTTTATTATTTGTATCTAATAAATAATTATAATATTTTTATTATTATTTGTGTATAGGCAGCCTTCTTCATTCATAATTATTTTACAAGAAAATATAGAATTATAATAATAGTGAATAATATAAAATTCAAATTAAATAATATATTGTCGCGTCTTGAGTATAGGTATACTTTTTGTACAAGTAATTTACATTTATATATAGGTTATTTTCCACATTATACATCATCAGTATTTAAATGATTTAATAACAGCATTTTTTTTTATTTCAGACTGCATTTTTCACCATAGTTATTCTACCTGTACGGATAGTGGCTATTATGGTTTTGCTGCTTATAGCTTGGCTGTTAGCGACCATTGGTTTGGCTGGTGTTGATCAGAACGAATTATCAGAGAGACCACTTAGCGGATGGAGACGGTAAGTTTCACGAAAACTGACCAAACCTGTAAGGCTGTAACTTGTCATATTGCTACCTATACTAAATACCTACTAATTATATATGCAATTAAGTGAATAATATGCCTACATTTTTCAGTTATTAAAATAATTTTTTCGTACCTATTTTAATACAACTATGGATCACAGCTCACAGAGGTATAAACCAAGCCTAACACCGATTTGTAATTGGAATCGAGACATTCTTCTCCTCATTTTTTTTTTTTTCGTCGCACAATATTTTGATTGGTATATGTGTCTATTCATAACAGTACAGGCAATAATACCTATTCACTCCTCACTATATAGTGTTATATTGAGTTTACGATTTAGAAGGTTTATTATAATGTATGTCCACGTATATTCGTATATACGGAGTGACTCGTCAATAATACATTAATGTTACCTTTGGCTATTTAAAATTTGACACGTTAGGCTATAATAAGTAATAATGTTCGTTATTATTTACATTGAACAAGATTTATACCAGTTTTGTTATGTATATAAAAGAATATAATAATAATAAAAGTTTTACATAATTAATAGTTATAAATTAATTTCATTTTCCAAAATTATTTAAAATAACAGTGTCGTAGCTAGGATTATTTTTCGGGRGAGGAGAGCTTCAATATTGTATTGCTAGTGCATTACTGATACAATACCTGGTTTAGTATGTTCAAGAATGTTATTTCTTGACCGCATAATATTCAATAAAATATATGATGTTTTGTGCATATCAGGTTTTGGTTCAGTGTTTAAAAATAGTTTTAAATTAAATTTTTATTTCATAATATTATAATATGATAAATTGAATTTTAATATAATTATAAGTATTTATTATTAATACAGTCATAACTCATAAGACTATCAATACTAAATTATATAATTTCTATTGTTGTGCTATAATTTATTATAAGAACTACATAGATTCTGYCGTTYTGGTTAAATATTAATAATTTTAATATTAAATATATTTTAAATAGATATTTTTTATCGAAATGTCGATTAGTATTACGACGAGGCTCTATATAAAGACGATATTTTATAAATATTTACTGTAACAATAATCAATCAATCCATTTAGTCGAAATAAAATATGATTATTGTTGATATAATATAATAGGCACTTTATAGTTTCTGTGGAAGAATCGTAGCGTTTAAATCGATATAAGACAATAATAGATATAGGTGGATATTTAATAATCGCATGCTATAACTATAAGTTAACTATTCATATTTTTATTATTAATGTCGATTGTCTATGCTTAAAAGCTTTTTTGTTATACACTATTTTTGTCTTCATTTGTGTCATATATTTCGTTTAAATATGTACGTTTATGTCTATGTACTAGTTTTACATATATTCATATATACCTACATAAAATAATGTTATTTTATGTTTTGTATTCGAACACTTAATAAAAATGAAATATTTAACTTTAAGTAGTATAATAATAATGATATTATTATTATGCAATGACATTTTATTATATCAACTTCAGTTGCATTTTTTATCAGGATGAGTGATATTTTTAACACTATTCCCGTACAGGTTCATGTTTAGTCTTAYGAACCTAACGAAGTTAGCAGGTTCAGTTAGGTAGATAGAGAGGAAGGTTAACAATTATAAAAAATGGTACATAAAAACCAACTCATTATCTCTATACCTAGTAAAATAAATAGTAAAATATACAATAATATTATTATTATTGTTGGTATATGCATAATTATTATAGTTATACTTTAATATCATACATATTGTATATTATGCACGCTTCACATGTACGTAGCGTTGGGCTTTTGATTGCGTTTTAGCTATGTCAGACGTGCGGTGTACATGGTCGTCCGGCTTATGTTCGGAGCGGTTGGTTTCCACCGAGTCAGGACTGTCGGTGAACAGGCCACGCGGAAAGAGGCGCCCGTGCTGGCCGTCGCGCCGCACTCGTCCTTTTACGACGGGCTAGCGGCCGTCGTCACGGGTGGTCCAACAATCGTAGCTAAGGAAGAGAACTCGTTCATACCGATCGTAGGAAGTACGCGACGATCTATCCTCTTATTTATGTTATATTATCGTCTGCACCTTGTGACTTTGTTGTTGTATAGGCGATTTTATGATTGGGACTGGGCGGCACGCCGGATTGTTTGATCTAAGATTTGAAAACAAAACTTGACTAAGACTTGACAAAATTCTATGCTATGCTATGATCGTCATAGGCTATGTATTAATAWGTTTTAGTTTTAATTATTTTGTGTGATATTAAACATTACATTTAATTAAACTTAAAGAATTTTTATTAATGCTGCTTTCAGTCATAATAGTCAGCAAAAGTGAAGGGGTGAGAAATGGAACTTCAATAATAATATAATCAAACAGTTTTAATTATATTTTTAACATGATAAATTTTTAATTAATTGCTATTTTATAAATTAAATTTAGTAATTTTATCTGAGTGTTACTGCTGGGTGACTTTTCTCCTCATATCTTCAGGTTTTTGTATAATATATTATTAAGTACAAACGCTTATTGTAAATACTATTTCAGATTGAATATATTCCAATAAATTAAAAATAAAATATTATTTTATAATAGAATGTCTTATTAGCTAGGCATTTGTAAGCTTGGATTATTTAAAAAAAATCCTTGTAGTAGGTAGGTAGTTGGTTGAAAAGTAAGAAAACTATTAAAATGTAATAAAATCTATTAACATTTCATTTTAAGATCATATGATAAATAAAATTAGTAATTTAAAAATGGTTAGGTATGCGTTTGTAGTTAATGATTTTATCTATCGGCCCGTAGACAAGAAAGTAAAAACCGTTAATATTACATATGTTTATTAGGGGTCATAATTCATCATTTTCATTCATTGGTTTTTACCAATTTTTT